CAGTTGAAGTTGTCAGACTAAGGAATACACATTTTTTTACTAGTTTTAGATATATATGAGGGCATCAAAGACCATGCCTGACTTTTTTTTTGGCTCCTGTGCTGTGAGCTTTAGGGTACACTAATACATCCCACTGTTCGGAATCCTCTCTCTTTGGTTTGTAATGTGTGTGTGTGTGGGAATAGAAGAATACATGCAATAGTCAAAGCGGCAATAATGATGAAGACCTTCATAATCAACGTAATCAATTATGTCGGTGCAGCCTTAATTAAATGTATTAAAATAAGATTGCAGCGTTACAAAGACAAATCAGCCGGTGAGTATAGCAGCTGCTTGGAATGATGTGCAACAAAAATAATAAATATTATTTGTTTTTTGTGGTATAGGCCAAAAAAAAAATCACAGTAGAAGCATTTATAACATCTTCCCACAATTAATTCTACAAAGATATTTTAAAGTTTCTTCACTCACTGTTATTGTGACTTATTCTGGTCATTTTCTCTGTTGCTAAAGTACAATATTTAACATCTGTAAATGTGAAACTTCTTTACCGCAGACTCTTTGCCAATTGTAGCCAAGGGTTATTATCTATTATTCTAATTTATCATATTTATATTTCATCTACTATCCTAAATAATGGATCTTGTTTGATGTTGTTGCATGTCTTATTACTATTCTACTGTGTAGAAGGAACTGATATTTTCCCACTGAGGGACGAATAAAAGGTTAATCTTATCCCCCCTGGACTGCCACCTTAACGTGGTGGGGGAGTTTGAGTACTCAGATGATCCTGGGAGCTATGCTGTCTGGGGCTTCATGCCCCTGGTAGGGCCTCCCATGGCAGACAGGTCTCAGGTGACGAGTCAGACGAAGCGCAGTCCAAAAACCACCATGGATCGCACTATAATGAGAGCAGTGACGTCGCCCGGCATGGCGCAGCCGGGGCCCCACCCTGGAGCCAGGCCTGGGGTCGGGGCTCGTATGCGAGCGCCTGGTGGCCGGGCCTTAGCCCACGGGGCCCGGCCGGGCCCAGCCCGAAGGGATGACGTGGGCAGTCCCTCCTGTGGGCCCACCACCTGCAGAGGGGTCCGTGGTGGGCGCGGTGCTGAGAGGACTGGGCGGCAGTCGAAGGCGGAGACCTCGGCGACCCAGTCCGCACACACAACATCTGGCTCTTGGGACGTGGAACGTCACCTCACTGGGGGGGAAGGAGCCCGAGCTCGTGGGGGAGGTTGAGCGATACCGACTAGAGATAGTCGGCCTCACCTCCACACACAGCTTGGGCTCTGGAACCCAACTCCTTGAGAGGGGTTGGACGCTCCACTTTTCTGGAGTTTCCCGCGGGGAGAGGCGGCGAGCTGGGGTGGCCATTCTCATTGCCCCCCATCTCAGCCGCCATGTGTTGGAGTTCTCCCCGGTGAATGAGAGGGTCGCGTCCCTCCGCCTCCGGGTGGGGGACAAGTCTCTCATTGTTGTGACGGCCTACGGGCCTAACAGCAGTGCAGAGTACCCGGCCTTCTTGGAGTCCTTGGGAGGGGTACTGGACGGTGCACCGCCCGGGGACTCCGTTATTCTCCTGGGGGACTTCAACGCCCATGTGGGAGTCGCCAGTGACACTTGGAGAGGGGTGATCGGAAAGAACGGCCCCCCTGATCTGAACCCGAGCGGTGTTCAGTTGTTGGACTTCTGTGCCAGTCACAGTTTGTCCATCACAAACACCATGTTCGAGCACAAGGGTGTCCACCAGTGCACGTGGCACCAGGACACCCTAGGCCGGAGGTCGATGATCGACTTTGTTGTCGTATCATCTAACCTTCGACCGCGTGTCTCGGACACTCGGGTAAAGAGAGGGGCGGAGCTGTCAACCGATCATCACCTGGTCGTGAGTTGGATCCGCTGGCAGGGGAAGAAGCCGGTCAGACCTGGCAGACCCAAGCGTATAGTGAGGGTCTGCTGGGAACGTCTCGCTGAGCCCCCTGTCAGACGGACTTTCAACTCGCACCTCCGGGAGAGTTTCTCCCAGGTCCCGGCGGAGGAGGGGGACATGGAGTCCGAGTGGACCATGTTCTCTGCCTCAATCGCCGATGCGGCGGCTCGTAACCCGGGACTGGGAGGAGTTCGGAGAGTCCATGGAGCATGACTATCGGTCGGCCTCGAAGAGATTCTGGCAAAACATCCGGCGCCTCAGGAGGGGGAAGCAGTTCTTTGCCAACACCATGTACGGTGCGGGTGGAGAGCTGCTGACCTCGACTGGGGATATTGTCGGGCGGTGGAAGGAATACTTTGAGGTTCTCCTCAATCCCCCCGTCACGTCCTCTGTTACAGAGGCAGAGGCTGAGGATGTTGGGGCGGATACATCCATCTCCCTGGCTGAGGTCACCAAGGTGGTTGGTAGCCTCCATGGTGGCAAGGCTCCGGGTGTGGATGAGATCCGCCCTGATTATCTAAAGTCTCTGGATGTTGTAGGACTGTCTTGGCTGACACGTCTCTGCAACATCGCGTGGCGATCGGGGGCAGTGCCAATGGAGTGGCAGACCGGGGTGGTGGTCCCTCTCTACAAGAAGGGGGACCGGAGGGTGTGTTCCAATTATCGTGGGATCACACTCCTCAGCCTCCCCGGTAAGGTCTATGGTTCATGGGAGTTCGCCCAACCTGTCCACATGTGTTTTGTGGATTTGGAGAAGGCGTTTGACTGTGTTCCCCGGGGTGTCCTTTGGGGGGTTCTCCGGGAGTACGGGGTCGGGGGTCCTCTGCTGAGGGCCATCCGATCCCTGTATGACCGGAGCCAGAGCTGTGTTCGCATTGCCGGCAGTAAGTCAGACCTGTTCCCGATGAATGTTGGCCTCCAACAGGGCTGCCCTTTGTCACCGGTTCTGTTCACTGTATTTATGGACAGAATATCTAGGCGCAGCCAGGGGTCGGAGGGGGTCCGGTTCAGAGACCACAGGATTTCATCTCTGCTGTTTGCGGACGATGTTGTCCTGTAGGCTCCAACGAACCAGGACCTGCAACATGCACTGGGGCGGTTTGCAGCCGAGTGTGAAGCGGCTGGGATGAGAATCAGCACCTCCAAATCCGAGGCCATGGTAATCGACCGGCCATCGACCGGAAAAAGGTGCCTTGCCCTCTGCAGGTGGGTGGAGAGGTCCTTTCTCAAGTGGAGGAGTTCAAGTATCTCGGGGTCTTGTTCACGAGTGAGGGAAGAATGGAGCGTGAGATTGACAGGCGGATCGGTGCAGCGTGCGCAGTGATGCGGTCGCTGTATCGGACCGTTGTGGTAAAGAGGGAGCTGAGCCGAAAGGCAAAGCTCTCAATTTAAGGGTCAATCTTCGTTCCCTCCCTCACCTATGGTCATGAACTTTGGGTAATGACCGAAAGAACGAGATCGCGGATACAAGCGGCCGAAATGAGCTTCCTCCGCAGAGTGGCTGGGCGCTCCCTTAGAGATAGGGTGAGGAGCTCAGTCACACGGGAGGAGCTCGGAGTAGAGCCGCTGCTTCTCCACGTCGAGAGGAACCAGTTGAGGTGGCTCGGGCATCTGTTCCGGATGCCTCCTGGACGCCTCCCTGGGGAGGTGTTCCGGGCACGTCCCACCGGGAGGAGGCCCCGCGGAAGACCTAGGACACGCTGGAGGGACTATGTCTCTCAGCTGGCCTGGGAACGCCTTGGGGTCCCCCCGGACGAGCTGGAGGAAGTGTGTGTGGATAGGGAAGTCTGGGCGTCTCTGCTTAGACTGCTGCCCCCGCGACCCGACAACGGATAAAGCGGAAGAAAATGGATGGATGGATGGATCTTATCTTTTCTTCATGGATGCCATTTTATCTATTATTTACTCTTTATAACTTGTAACATATAAAGAGGATTACCCTGCACAGTCCTGACATACAGACACACCTCCACTATCTCAGGATTATTTACTTCCATTCACTTCAAATAGTCGTCTGAGGTCTTTGAAATGACATTACAAGCTAAGCCTCTCCAACATCTCAACTATAATGTCAGGGGAATCTAGTGTATGTACTATTGCTCTTAACAAACACATGAATGGGATATTTCTGTTTTTCTGAGCTTTGATAAATGGCAAAGTCAGTGGCTCTTTCAAACTCTGAGGTGCAGTGGTGTTTTCCAAAAGGTTATTTGGTTCTTCTATTACAGACAATAGTAAGTTAGCGATTGTATTTGCTTCTGAACATGACAGAAGTTTCAAGAATTTAATAAAGAATGTCTTTGTCATTCATTTTGCAGTAAAACCACATTGTAAAAACTGTGCAAGACTACTCCAGTGTGCACCAGAAAGTATACCGTGGAAAAAAGTCAGGGTAATAATTAAGCTAAAGCGGAAATTCAGACTGGAATTCAGCTCACAACGTTCCAAGTCCTCCCACTGTTGCTCACGGCAACAGCAATCAGTCAATCACACTCAGCTGCAGCATCACACCTCCCTCAGCTGGCAGTGATCAGGCACTGCATCGAGCTTCATATTGTGTGGAAGCTCTATCCAAGCAGCAGCTACATTCATGCCGCAACCCTACTCCTCATCTCTGCCTTGTACTGGGTAGGCTCTTTCATCCTTCACCTAACTACTGCCACCAGGGTCTAGGCCCCTGGCGATTTCATCTCATAATCCCTTTCCCCTTTTGCAATAGCGCAGTTCTCTTCCGGGGTCTAAGCGCCAGATCCTAACCACACATCTGTACAGCACAATACATGTAATTTTGAAAATATTGTCAGTCATCAAAATTTTTTGTCGTGACAGATTACTTGCCAAATAATATACAATTCTAATACACATGTTTTATCTGTTTGAGTCTCAAGATTGAAACACCGCTAACCTACTATTGTCTGGAATTGAAGAACCAAATACCCATATTTCTAAGACAAGATTAACCCTCCTAACATTATTTGCACCATATGCCAAAGCAAATTCCTAATTTGTGAGGTCCTCTCACTCACAATAGCAATGAAAAAACACACAGATTCTGGTTTGGACGTGTGCTGACCTGTAGCCGTGCTGAGTGTCCATGCAGACGCCGCCGTTGAAGCAGGGGTTGCGGGGGTAGGAGGCACAGGGCTGGTGGGACGTCTCTCTGCCCGCACAGGAGCACACAGCTGTGGACTCCACCGTCACCGACACCAGGCTCATGGTGCCACAGTCCACCACAGTGGGGGTGTCGCGGACGTTCAACACAGTGTGACACCCCCCCGCCCCGGGACACTCTGAGGAGGGACACTCATCCACGCGTACCTGGGACACGCCGGTCTGCATGAAGGACTGGAGCTGAGGAGGACAATAGAGAAGATGGTTTCAAACTAAAGCCAACAGTGTACCTGCTATTGTGTGAAGAAAGCATTTTGAGCAGTGGTGTCAAAACGGGTCCAGAAAGGGCGGGTGTGGCTGCAGGCGTGTAGTTCCAACCCTTGGAACTAACACCTGCAACCACACCGGCTGTTTGAGGACTGGTTTGACACCCCTGATTTTGAGACAACTCCAATTCAGTAAGATAAAACAGAGATAAAGCAGAAATTCAGACAAGAATAACTAAGCTCACAGCGCTCAAAGTCCTCCCACTGTCGCTTCACGGCAACAGAAATCAGTAAATTACACTCAGCTACAGCACAACACACCAATCCTCACCTGCAGCAATCAAGCTTCATATCACGAGGAAGCTCCATCTAAGCAGCATCTTAATTCACGCTGCAACCCTCCTCCTCCCCATCTCCACCTTGTTGCGGGTCAGCTCTTTCAACCTTCTCCTAGCTACCACCACTAGGGTCTTGGCCCTGTGTATTAGCATGCGGGCAGGTCGATATTTCCACAAACGTTAGAATTTTGGTCAAATGTAGAAAACAATCCTTCATTCGCTTCCATGATCTAAACAACTAAGATCAAACAATCGGCTAACTTATCAATAATCAAAAAGAATTGTTAAATACAGCCGTCCATTTAAAGTTGTATTGAACACTACTTTTTGAATGTTTTCCTTCTTGCAAACTTTCCCATTGTTATGATTGAATTTGGCTGCTTTAGACAACTTCAAAACTTTGAAGAGTCCATACTAAATATATAATGTAACCAAAAATGCTCGTGGTGAGTCGACACATGTGACCTTCTAATACAACACCAGCATGCGCACAGAAGTTGACTTACACTACTTTGAAAAAGAAATAAGCCGCACACACTCTGCAGGTTGCTCTAGTTAAGCCCAGAGAAGAGAGACGCGAGCGCCATGGTCAGAGCAGCTGGCACACAGGAGCCAACATGTGGGAAAATGACTGATCTTAAACTTGTTTGCGGCACCCTGCTGTTTGGAAATTACACTTGAGCCTGGTGTTTTTCTACGTGCCAACTTTTCAGATATGCAACACGGTCGGGTCCAGCTGCCTCCGACATATTTTATTCACAACAACTTACAATTTATATCTCCTTTATATATTGATCCAATAAATATTTCAAAACGCTATAGCGCAACTTTGTGACGCTCTGAGCCGATTACAAAGTGGTGTGATTTTTGTTTTGTTTTTTTTATGCTGTGGGAGAAGGTATGCTGGTGCTTCAGGGAAAGATACAGGGAGGGTAGAGATTCAGTTTAGTTTGGGGCCTGGCATGTGGCTTTAAAGATTTTTTTTCCAGACAATGCATATTACTAGATTAGTTACAATATAAGAGGGAAGTTTATAAGATGTGTATTTTAAAACTATAGAGACAGATTATATTAACAGGAGATTTATTTTTTATTTAGATTCACTTGTAAATGTGTGTAGTCTCGAGGCAGGTCACAGGTTTTCTTATAAATTGTCTGTACCTCTGATAACATATATATTTAACACAGTGTTGCTAACCATTGTAGTATTTTCACATCATTGAATCATTGAATCTTTATTCTAAACACTAGCATAAAAAGTGGTACAATTGACCAGAAACTGCAACCATAGTAAGTACTCTCTAAGCAAGAACCTGTTAAACTTATAAGAAAATACAGTAGCAAACAAAGCTCTTGGTTCAGTTTTAATTCAAGCATTCAAATGCAAAGAATAAAGATTTATAAGGTTATATATTGAAAGTAAGTAAGTAAGCTTTATTTATAGAGAGGCCTTCACATACTTCAACTCACAGGGTGCTTCACAAGTTAAACACTAAAATGCAATGAAAAAATGCAATAAAATGAAATAAAATAAAATACAATACAATAACACATAATGCGCGCCTATATGGAAAGACAGGCTGTAGATCCAGGACTCTTCTCCCCAACTCACTCTGTGCTGAAGGCATCTCTCTCATCCCTGTATATACTTCTTTTTTTATAAGGTTTTAAAAATCCAATCAAGTTTGAGAATGTTTTGAACAGTAGCTCCTCGCCTTGAGATACACACAGATTTCAAAGGTTGTTCTAAATTCAGGCACAAACACTTTTTCGCTGTATTTACGGTGAGCATCTCTATCTTGGAATAAGCTTGGCAGACAGATTCCCAGAAAGTTTTACGTTTAATCAAGCAGGTGCTAAACTCTAGTACAGTAAATAGTTGGTAAAAAAACGTTTTAAGTAAATGTTTTTTTTTACTTTTGTATTAGTTTAATCTACAGTATACATTTTGTGTTAGTAAACAATAGTGAAAACCACATTATGAATTGGGAGAATATCATAGGTGCTGAGGACAAAAAACACTGATGCTGGCAATAGAGATTCCATAACATACCCCCAGGACTGTAAACTGGGACGAGGGGGCTTTTTTACTCTCACACACCTGGAATTCTACAGAGCCGACATAGTAGAGGTAAAAAAAAGGTAATAAATAAAATAGAAATCTCAAGACAATTATATTGAGATCCTGTGAAAGTGTCTGAACATCCTGAGAATATGTGCAGACTTAAGAAAGAACAGAAATGCTAAAACTTCTGGCTAATCCTTTATCCGGTCCCAGGTATTAGTGGAAAGACACACATCCATGGGGAAGGTTTATTGAGTTATATTTTGAAATTGGATTGAGATGCAAGGACATAAAAACAGTTCTCGGTCGCAGACACAATTGAGAGACATTTGAAGAAGATTGTTTGCACAAAAATAATAATTACGTCGCAAGCACCACTCAGGAGTTGTGAATGTGGTTGAGTTCATTTCAAACTAAATTCGAGGCTTTTGTCCACTCCACGGGTACCGGTGAATTAATGCCAAATGTAGAGAAAGTGTTTTACGTTTGAGGAAAGAGGATGTACGACTGGCGTTGAAGGAGCTGGACCCCAAAATAGTACATGCAATGCAGACAAGACATCTCAGACAACGGAATTATTTTTCCAAAGGACCAAATGAGATGTGTGAATAAGTGCGTTGATGGAAGCTTAGGTCGACAGCTTGAAAATGTTTTTAAAAAGCTGACAGTAAAACGTCACAGGAACATCACTTGACCACTCTGAGGAAGCTGTCCAGTACGACAAACCCACCGTGGTCTTAAAAAATAATCCACTTGTCAAATTTATCAGACCAAATGAACCTCGATTTTCAATAAGTTCCTGCATCTGCAAAAGGGCATTTGAATTCAATCTATTCCATCAAACTTCACAAACACACAATTGCTCAATTTGTGTGTCTTATTTGCCCCGGCGAAAATAGAAACACATGTAAGTACAACACATTTTCAGCGGGCAGATAAGACGCACGCTCCCCAACAGCGAGCACACAGCGCATTTAAAGCATATGAGGCATGAACCAGCGCTAACAATGATCCATAAAGCAGGGTAAAAGCCAGCGCTCATCCGGCACAAGCCATTTGCTGGAATAAGTGGATCAGATACAATGAGATAGATGTGCGAGGCATGGCCAGTGCGCTCAAATCAGACAGAGTGAATGATGTCCAATCAGTGCAGAACATTGAGCATCTAGTGACCTTCCCAGAGTTCAGTGGAGCTCTCATTGTGTTTGTCTATATATGCCGGCTTGTCATGGTAAAACGCCGCTCTGTTCTGCCTGGCTGCGTGCCACGATGCATAAACTCACTTGACCATTGTCACTCTCACCAGCAGCATGTGCATTCAAGAGCAAACAGGACATTTTCAATTTCCATTTCATTTCGAGTTTATCTGAGCTCTTGACCTGGAGAATCACATTTTCCTCTCAGTCTCATCCTCATTTAGACTGAATTTAGGAAGTAAAGCTCAAATAGCTTGAAAAAGGATGATTGCTGCTTGCGTTATCCCGTCGGGTTGCTTTGGAAAATTCAGCGAGGGTAGAATTTCAAATGTACAGGCTCTTTACGGGCTCCCTTTGGCCAGTTCATGCCGAGCCAATAAAAACGTGTTCTGTTTAACCCGGAGACCCGTGTCGGATAACTATTGTGCACACAGAATTGCGTTAGTGACATTTGCCTTTGTATGTGATTTGCGCTTCTGTGGTTCTTATATGCCCTGTGCAATTGCATGAATTAACTCGGGCTTACAATGTACATTTTGTCAGGATAATTTGCACAGTAAATTGCATCGTGCATAGACATTGTGGGAGCCAGTGACCTACTATTATAATGATTGTAAAAAGATTGGTTTTGTTGGTTAAGCATAGTGAAATATCATGCACGAACTGGAGAGGCAAAAATGAGCAAAACTCGACATTCTGTACAGACACACGTAATTGTTGAGGTGTCATTAAATATTATACAGTATTTACAGCATAAGTGCGAGTAAAATGTCAGTGTTAACCTCTGTCATACGTCTCTATGCATGGACCAATGTGTGTATATGTTTACTATAATAATGACAGCTGTTAAATCCTTCACTTTTTATACATTTGATTAGAAGCACATATGCAATAGTTAGCATTTTAACAATAAAACAATTCAATTCAACAGAAAGGAGCACAAAAGCCCATACACAATGATGACATGATCCTCACAGAATTTAAATGACTGATGACTTATGTTTAGTAGCTGATTTAAGGAGCAGCCGTCTGTGTTTTCCCATTGCCCTGAGGCTTCTGTCACTGACTGTGTATGACAGTAATAATTGGTTCAATCTTTAACAAAGGATGTCTCATTATGAGGTTTATATTTAGATCATAAACTAGCATAATAAAAGGTAAAGCAGTACACCATTTGTGTGTTTGCGCTGATAATGAAGTGACCTCAATCTCTGAAATATCCTTAAGACATGAATATGGACCATATACAATTTCTATAGACACAGATCTTACATATGACTCCATGGTGATTTAACTGCATCACTGCCTGACACTACCCTGCATCTATGCTCTTATGTGATTGGCTCATACTTGTGTATAGTGAGCAGGGACACAT